TGTTAAGTAATTTTTAATTCCGCATTATCACCTATTCACCCCCCTAGGTGTTGTTAGGGTCGAACTACGTACTTTTAGAGGTGAAATCAAAATTAGCATTAAAATTTTTTGGTCAGAGTACATTTATTATATGAAAATTGAAAAGACTATTAGACCCTCACTTTAATAATAACTTTATCAAAAATACCATTGACTAAATAACTTTACATTATTTTCTATCAATATTGATATTAAGGATAAAATGAGAATAACCTCATTCCGCACAGTTCAATCGGGAGGAGACGATGGTGTCGCTGAAGCTACAGAAGCGGCTTGCCGCTAGCATCCTCAAGTGCGGCAAGGGCAAAGTCTGGCTTGACCCTAATGAAGTCGATGAACTCTCCAGAGCCAATTCGCGTCAAAATATTAGGAAGCTTGTCAAGGATGGTTTCATCATTAGGAAGCCAACCAAGATTCATTCTCGATCTCGTGCTCGTCGAATGAAGGAGGCAAAGAGAAAGGGACGTCACTCCGGATATGGTAAGCGCAAGGGTACTAGAGAGGCAAGGCTGCCAACTAAAGTACTTTGGATGAGGAGAATGAGGGTGCTCAGGCGCTTGCTTCGCAAATACAGGGAGTCAAAGAAGATTGACAAGCACATGTATCATGACATGTACATGAAGGTAAAAGGTAATGTTTTCAAAAATAAGCGTGTTTTAATGGAGAGCATCCACAAATATAAGGCTGAGAAGGCCAGAGAAAAGACCTTGTCAGACCAATTCGAGGCTAAGAGAGCAAAGAACAAGGCTAGCAGGGAAAGAAAGATGGCTAGGAGGGAGGAGCGTTTGGCTCAGGGACCAGGAGAGAGAGTAGCACCACCACCTGCTGCTGCTGCCCCTGCTCCTTCATCCCAGGCAGCTCAGGGAGCCAAGAAGGCAAAGAAATGAACTTTTTGACTCAGTTTTAAGGATTGGCGGATTCCTATTGTCTTTATGCATTTTTGTATTTTTTAGTATGACAATTCAGGTTTTTTAACCTCTGTACTAAATCTTTCTTTATGACTACATTAGCTATTTCCAGTTGAATTGACTATTGCGAAATCATATAACCGCCTGTCGTCTTATGTTCTGTTATACAACGATTTTTATACCATGTTGAAAAAGTGTCGTTGGG